AAGGAGACTGGCAAATAGTTTCTTATGGTTTGGGGACCTGTAAAGACATGGAGCATCTGTTCCCCAGTTAAGTCATAGTCTGGTAGCACTGAATCATGTTAAGAGCTAAAATGATGGGAAGAACTACTTTTTTCACCTTGGCTGTACCTGTGTTTTAAATGCCTAATACATTATTTCTGCTCGTGGCAAAATAATTTCAACCCTTGCTCAGAAGGTATGTAAATGAGAATGCTTTTACGTTTTTTTTTCCTTGTTTATGGTCTTTGGGAAAGAGACACGTATACAGCGTGATTTCACTTCGGTGCCTTGATTTTTATCTCTAGTATAAAATGGAGAATTGGATTTTCTTATGCAAACACTTCATCTTTCTAAACAAGCAACGCTTTTGGTACACAGTATTTTAATCAGTTAAAGTATTTGCCTTGGATGAGATTAGTTTTCTTGTGTACTATGAAAAAAATACAAAACACAAGAAAGGAAAATATCTGTAAAATTACAGATTATAGACCTTACTACCAGAAATCTTTGTGTCTAGATGACCATAAAACTTAGCTGTGTTTTTCTCTTGCAGAGTTAAGAGAGCATTAAAGTTGGATACTGTTAAAAAAGATAATGTAAGTATTTTTTGACGTATGGAATCATCTGGGCTGTATATAAGTGTATGTGTATGTATATCTATATGCACACATATATATGTATTTTAACATGGTATTTCATTGGAGTTGCATTTATATTGTTAACAGATTGGGTGTTGTCTAGAAAAATCTTAACAAGGCACGAACCTACTGCTGAAAATATTAGTATAAAATATATCGTATTCCGTTTGTCATAGAGCTGCCTGGCTTTACGTAATGTACATCTGCATGAATCACTTGAAAATAATAGAGAAATATGTGTGTTTTTATTGCCACCACTATTTACACAAGAGCTGAATGAGTTAAGATCCATGGCGAAATCATTTATTAGAAATTAGCTCCATTATCCTGGAAGCAAATGTTCTGCCATGTAATTGGACATGTAACAATACGGAATTATGATAATGCTGTAATCTGCATATTATAAACCGCAAAATTGAAATGAAAACATTAAAGGCATTTTCATGTCAAGGATATAATTACTTCCCTCAGCTAATCTGGCATAACCAAACAATAAAGTACTAACACCGCAATAAATTTCACCACGGTTATCACAATAAAAATAAAATTGTACTGTTGCTATTATTTTTTGTAAATGCAGCTATAGCATACTCCCAGTACCAGCGTGTCATGACATATGTCAGTTTATTATCTGCTCCTACCAACAGTGGGTGTTACTGCAGACATCAATGCAGAGGAGCTTGTGAGGATGGCAGTGTTTAAGGGAAGGACAATTTTGGAAAAGTATACAGCGAGAAATAGCTGGTCAGCAAACGAGGTCCCAATAAATCTCCACGTCTGTGTCGTTTCAAAGAGATTTGTTTATATGCTGCACATATTTGGAGGTCTCGCTGGTATTTAGCAAAGTAGAAATTTGCAATTTTAGGAATTTTCTGGATAGTTTTTTTTTATTTTTTAAATTTAAACAAAGGTGGCAAAATACCGCAGTGGCACTAAAAAAAAATCATTAGCAATTTAATTAGCAGCTTAGTGTACCATTACCCAACTTGTTCTGCTCAGAATGCAGCTGTGACTGTAATTTTGCATCTGTTTCTTGGGCTGTAGTAACATTTTTGTAAATGAGCGGTCCAGCTGAAGTGACATACAGTTCTTTTTCTGCCTTTAAGCTATTCCTTCCCTGGCCCCCTCCCTGTAAGATGAAAAAAAAGAGTTATTTGATGGCTACCTGCATTCAGGTTCTTGTGCAGCAAGAAGCTTAACAAAAACCCATCTGAATGATAAAAACTTTTACTGGAATCTCAATATTGTAGGTTTACACCATGATTTTTAGTTCATGTGATGCCTCTAACAGATACCTATCAAAGATTTAAGGTGTACCACAGTTAAATAATGCTGTAGAAGGTAGGAAGGAATGCAGGGTGATAAACACACCCAGTTTGTGTGAAGTGTCTGGTTTAGGTCTGCTGCATCCCGTGCTGTTTCTATATTTTCCTGTAGAAAAAAATATCCATTGCTGTTTCTATATTTTTTTCAGGAGGCCCTCATTCCACCGCCGATCAGACTACCCAAAGCATGCCTGAACTAACCAAACCAGAAATCAGTATTTTTAGATTTTGTGATGTTAGTATTGTATCATTAAAAAAAAGCATAACTGGACTAAGACTCTTCTTCTTGGAAGAGAAGTTCTTACTGCCAAATACATACTGTCCTTTTAAGTATGTATTTTAAGCTACCTTTTACAGGTAGCTACTCAAAGGAGTCAGTTCTGTGCAGAAATATGGTGGCTGAGCGAACTGCTGTACAAGCATGAAAAATATCCTGAAAGTGTAAGCAGGTTGGAGATTCTCCCTGTTAGAAAAGAGATTTAATGACATTTAAATGCCTCAAGTGGCATTAATACTTTACTATAATTAATATTTCATTTAAAGGTGATTTGAAACATTGCTTTAACCTGTTAGAATGCAGCAAAATACTGGTGGCAACAGAATGAAGGTTTCTATCAGGTGTTGTTTAAATACTGATAGACTGCCAAAAGAGTGTAAATGGCTGAGGCAAAATTAGTTAGGGTATTCAAGACTAAACCAAGCCAGAGTAATTTCCAGGAGCTATAAGAGAGCTAGGTAACTGGGCAGCAAATTAAATCTCTCAAAATACGGTGTAAGTCATATCACCGATGACCAATATTAACACTGTTGGGTTCTAAATTAAGGCTGACCACTCAAAGCAGACTAGGAGAAGAAAAACCTCAAAACTGCAGCTTTGTGTAAAAGTGCAGTAAGATATTTCAGAAATAGAAGAGCGAGCAGCACTGGAAGTATAATGCCATTGCATAAATCAGTACTTTGTCTTCACCCAAATGAGAATTGAATGTACTGTCACTATTTTAAAGTATTATTGCAGGAATTATACTTCGAACTTGTACCATTTGCTGAAAGAAGATGAGTGTGAACATAGACTGTGGTACAAGTGGCACAAGAAATGCCTTCAAACGAAGGAGGTTAAAAGATCAGGATGTTTTAATAGGAGTTCAGTAGTGAAGAGCAGGAAGGGGGTATAAGAATATGCTGTATTCTTTTTAGAGGGGATATTGGACATTATATACTTTTATATAATCGAGAGGAATTTAATAATATTGCAGGGTAGAAAACTGAAAGCCAATAATGGACACCTATCTTTTATATGATGCGTTAGCTTCTAGAACTCATCCTGAAATTTTGGTAGAAGATGTAATAAATACACTCGTTGGTGCAGATAATGGGAGTTTGCATATCTATGTAGGTGTGAAAAACAGGAGTATTGTGCTTCAGGATGTGTAAATCAACTGCTAACTGTAGAATTGAGAAGAAAACTTCTGAGGATTACAGAATTTACCATTATACTTCTAGGTACAGCTTGTATTCCTAGTTTTATATTTATTGCCTCTGTATAAATGTATACTTTTTAGAAGCAGTGTCCTTATAACACCTCAACAATTTGAGATTAATTACGTAAACTTTAATGTTTTCTGTCATTAATTTACTCAGTAATGAAGTGTAGCCTTTTCCGAGGTCCTGGATCCCCGCTGGATTATAAAGGCTTTAAATCACCTTTGTATACGTAGCTTTGTGATCCGATGTGACTTACATCCTGATACGACTTGTGCCTTTCACACGTGTTAGCTGGTGAACCTGATTATTTGCCTTAAAAATACTGCTTTTGCCACTTGTGCACCCTTTTGAAATCTACAACTGATGTGGTTTGATTTTCCAGGGGATATTTGTGAGACCTTAAACCTGTGAGGCTGAGAAGTTCTCAGAGTTGTCTTTCCATTCCATACCATGCTCCGGACTCAGGCTGCCTTTCCTCTCAGCCATGTCCCCAGTAGACCCTTTTCCCAGAGCGTGCAGGAGATTCCCGTGCTTAGGAATCCTTACTGGTCTTGAAGATTTGTATGCCCTTTGTTTAATCTGGTTTAAAAAGGAGTAGCATGGGAGTCTTATTCCAGCAAAACAGGACAACATATGATTAAGTATGAAAAGGGAATAGATGAGTTACTAATTTGAAATTGCAGTGGAAGTGTCAGTTACCAAACTGCAAATATCAGGTTGTCTCTTTTTTTTTCTTTTTTTTTTCCCAACTTGGCTTAAGCACTGTGTGTTCTTTAATGAATGTAAAACCCAGATCCTCACCTTGTACTTCATTCATGGTATTGAAACAGCATAATATGCTTACCTATTACACTTTTTCTAACATGAATAAATGGAATAATAAATGGAACTTAAAGAGATTACAGAATAATCATGTATAATAAAGCTTCCAATGAAGAGATACTGTATGAAATTAAATGACTGTTAAGAGTGACATGAAGACAAATGATAGACACTCCATTTTACAGTTTGGATGAGGCTCAAGTTAGTAGAAAAGGCTAGTTGTTTGGGAAGTAGATGAGTCATTCCTTTACTTGCTCCAGGTAAAAGACTGAGATAAATCAATTTGTCCCTCAGACTATAAAGATCTAGAATTGTAACAACTTAAAAAATGAATAAACCTCTTATTCTGGTTTTCTGTGCAAATCACTTTGATGATACTATGTTTCCAAGAGGAGAAAAAAAAGTAAACCACTGAAATGTAGAAAAAAAGAGCATTTCACTGCTTTTAGACAGCTCTTCTTTAAGCCCTTGGGAAGATTTTGCAAGGGACTGGAAAAAGTGGCTTTGCCCAGGATGTCCCTTTGTTTTTTGCGTGTTATTACAGTGAAATAAGTTGTGTTTTGGTTTGTTTTTTTCCTTCTGTGTGTTAGTAGTGTAGTGAAATCCCAGTTCTTCAGATTGGCAATTCAACATCCAGTCTAGAGAGTCAACTGTGTCCCAGATAACCCCAGTTAATATTTCAGAATTGCAGACTAGTTCTTCTGAAAACTTCTCTGCAGAATTCCTTTAACGTCATCAAATAACTCTTTTTATATCATTGGACATACTGAAACCCTAAGTCAGAGAAAAGATTTTGAATTTAAGGGACTCACTTGGCTTTTTTTAATTAACACTTGTTTGGAAAACCATTAGAAATAACTATGTTTTGATAAAATTAAAATTAAAAATACTTGCTTACAGTTCATGTGTCTTAAAATCTCTATACTGTAGGAAAAATAATACCAGGTTTTGACTGCTTTTTAGAAAACAAAAACAAAACCAAAAAAAGCCAGATGTTCATGCCAGAATACCTAAATCTCTGGAAACCACGTACTTTTTGTTTATGAAAACTGGGAGGCTGGTGTCTGAAGGGCTTTTTTATTTATTTTTTTTTTAGTAAAACTAATGTTAATGAGGAGGGGGAATGACAGAGAGGCTTGGTCGGCACTTGGCAGCCAGTGAAGGTCAACTCACCACAACATATAACATGGGCTTTTCATAAACAAGAGTGCATAAAGTTAGGAATTCCTTGGAAAAATCTGGTACCAGGTAGTAAATGTTCAGAGGGGCTTTGTCTGGTTGGAAGTGCAATATGTAACTCTACAGATAGGAAAGGCAGAGGCCAGCATGTAGTTATTTTGCAGAAGGGAAGTTTACAGCTGTTGTAGGTTTAGATGGACGTATCTTTAGCCAATATTCATCTAGATTCTTTGTCTTTTGCTGCATTTTTAGCCATCTGATGCAACACCTTTGAGGACCGAAAAAAAATTCTCAACTCGTACTCACCGACAACAGGAACACGCCAAATGAGTCCGTTTTCGTCTCCCACGAGTCACAGTGCACAAAATCTCAGAAATCGCCCATCAAATGGTTAGTTGAACATTCTGTCCTTCTTTTTGCAACATTTTTCTGGTTATTGGCTTGATTTAGTAACGTCTCATGTGATGTGTTTGATTTCTTTTCCTCTTAAAGAGTTTTAATCTCTCGGAAAAGCTGATACTGACTTTCAAAGCTTGAATCTTTTCAGTATGAGTCTTGAGGGTGTTTGTGAAACAACTTCTTTATGAAACAAGTTTTGCTTTCTGTTGATCAGTACTAAAAATGTTTGGCTTTGGCTCAGCAAAAAAAAAACCCTGCACTGGCATTTTTGTCAATAATTCCATTAATTCCACTGATTAGGCATGTTTATGCTAGGAATGCTCTTTGTTTGCATTTTTTCTAAGTCCCAACTGTCATCAGCAGAACTGGTACGTGCTAGTGACAGTGACTTTGTTCTCCTTTGGATTATACAGGGAGCTGTTCTGAGGTTGCTGTGTGCTTCAGGTGATTGTGAGGAAGTCCTGGCTTACTCTTGCAAGGCAGAGCAATCCATTGTTTATAATACACAGCTGAAGTCTGGACTCTCTCATGGTCAGGAGAGCTGGAAAGAAAAGATGTGCACAGTTGATGCGTGTTTGATGTTGTGGCCTTTTGAGAGCTATGTTGAGGTTTGTGGTGCAAGTCCTGGTTTATGTACTTCCTGATTTCCATCAGAGGGACAGCTGTTCTTGCCAGTGACATAAGTGCTTGCATGCATACACACATATGGCATTTCTCAGCTCTGTCTCTGTGAATATGGAAAGTTACGTAGATTTTATCAAATCAAAGCTAAAAGGGGAGTTCACTTAGTTTAACTCTTCTGCTTTACATTCTTTTACGTGATTTTTTTACTATTGTTCTTCATAGTGAGGCACATCAAGGCAATTTTTAATGAATCTAACATAACACTGAATCTCGTTAGCTCTCAGAAAAAAGGCTTTTTTATAGTTACATTATTTCCAGTTCACTTTAGGTTATATGTCCACTTAGTTACACAGCCACAGTTTCTGCTGCAAACTATGACTGCTCAAAAGTTACGTTTTCAGTTGACTTAACCTGCTTTTATATATGTTGTGGTCTTTTTAAGTGTTAAGGAACCATTAGGTCACCCGGTGTGACCTATTTATATTAAAAAAAAAAAAAAAAAAAGATACTTTCTTGTCATCTTTCCCATGTAGAGCCCAAGAGCTTTTATTTCCTTGCAGTACAACTCCTAGAAAGATGATTAAGTCTTGATCTGAAGACTTCAAATTATTTAATAATAATTAATAATCATCATCATCACTTCTCTTGTTTCCCCTGTTAGCAAGTTCCTTGTTCAATTACCTTCACTATTAAAAAAAAAAAAACACCTTCTGCCTGATTTTGAATTTGTCTGGCTTTAATTTTCAGCCATCAGTTCTTGTTATGCCTTTTTGTTGGGTTAAAGAGCTTTTTATGCCCCATATATTTTGGAATTTATGTGCAGTAATTGAGGCCTCACTAACATTCATGAATTATGATGAGTAGAAATATTCTGAGCAGGATAGAATAACCACTGTTTGAAATTTATCTAGATGTCTGCAGATTTTTGCACTAGCTATTACACCATATGCTCTCATGATGGGTCTGCACAAGTGGATTTTTCCTCTAGGAAAAAAGGGATTTTTTTTGTTTTAAGAGAATTTGGGGATTCTGTCAAAACTGACTGAACTAAAAATGAAAATTGCTGGAAGCCTTCAAGCTGAGATCTGTGAGCATTACATCCCTTTTCCTTATTAAAAATAGCAGAGTGTTTGAGAAAGCGTGGAAGCATCGGGTGTTTTGCTGGCAATATAGCTATGCATAGTTACCGGCCTCTGTGCAGGGGTTTTGGTTTGTTCATGGTTGTTTTTTTTTTTTTTTTAATTAGTAATCACACTAGGAAACTAAACAGAAGCAGCTATATCCTAATTCTTTATTGTGCTGCCAGTCTTCATTATAACCTGGCTTTGTTTCCTCATTACCTGTTTGTCAAAGAGTTTTAACACAGTTTAACACAAAATTTAAAATCTATGCAGTTAATGCGTGTTTAATTTCGTGTCCTTTTGAGAACTATGTTGAGATTTGCAATGAAAGGCCTGGTTTATGTACTTCCCAGTGTAGGGAGAGAGTAAACCTTCATGTCCTAGAAAGTAAGGGTCTTTGCCACAGTGGCTACCCTGTCTTGTGAACAATTCCTCCTCTCAAAACTGATGGCTGCTTCTTGATTCCTAAAAAGATGATTATTTGGCAGGGTGGATATCTCCACACACCTGCTTACTTCACTTTCAGAAATCTAAAGAGACATTTAATCAGCCCTTTGAAGTATTGACTCCTGCATTCTTAAAATACTGGAAGCAGTTTCTCTTTGGGATTATTTTCAGCTCTGAAAAAGTTGCTTAAAGCATTATCTTAAGTATTCCCACCGATATCTCTGGTTACGTGTTGAATTTTCTCCTTGGAGTTTAAACCAAGTTAGACAGTAATCTAAACCCCACTGTTTCCTAACTTTCTGCTTACTGGGAAAAGTAACTCCTCCTGTGAGCAGCATTCTGACTTAGTCTGTTAGGGAACTTATGTCCTTGACATATGAATTTATCTACTCTATTTTTCTACAGGAAGAAAGGTTTTTTCAAAGTATTCCCGGGTCAAATTTCTATGGCAGTCTCTACTTATGTCAGTAACAAGGAAATTTTGTGTTTGCATGTATCGACTCCTATACCAGTCTCAGGATTTGATGGTACTTCCTGGATGAAATGAAGAGCCTGTGTGTCTTTTTTTGTTTTCTTTCCCCTTGTGGTAAATATGAATCTCTTCCTCCTGTACGAAGAAACCTTTCCATGAGAAGAGTTGCCAATAGGTTGTTAGTGCCATCAGTTGTGTATGCCTCTCCTGGAATCTGTCACGTCAGGCAGAGGTCAGCTCATACACCTCAATGAATTGTTTTGTCATGATGTGGCATCCTACATTCTTACCCAGTATGCAGAAAAAGTAGTCAGATTCAAGCAAAGTGGCTGCATGTCATAGCTAGCTGCTGCTGATCCCTGAATTAAGGGTGCCTGTATCCTGAGGGAAGAACCAGATGGAACAATCCATGTCCCATTGAGTACTGGCTGAGGCACTGGGAGCAGTAAGCTTTCTGTTAGTGTTGCCACAGCACAAATGCAATTCTGAAAAAAAACACCTTCTACTTTTTTATATATAAATGCAGATTTTAATTTTGTGGCTGTCTGCAGGGTATGAAGCTATACCTCAGCCTGGCTGGATATCCACCTGCACTTTAACACTTAACGATTTTAAAAGCTTTTTGCAAAGGTATATAATTGTAACAGATACAGAATTTAAAATGCTATGGCTCTTTAGATATGTCCTGTTGAGTATCCCTACATGTTTGTAATTACCTGCTTTAATGACCTCTTTCTTTTAGTTTTAGTCGATGCCTTCTTGGTGACACAACACATGACAATACACAAATGTTTAAATATGCGACAAGTTTTAAAACTTCTTCAGCATCTCTGCATTCGCCTTACACGCCTTATCTCTTAGGTGAAAGGAAAAAGGGGGCAAAATGTCTCGTATTAAAATGCCTGTATATTAGGATGTCAATGGGAAAGGTGAACCTGCACTGTACTTCCATACGGATATTAAGTATGGACATAGGGGAACGTTCTTTTTGCCTATAAAAAGGCTGGTCACATGGTCATAGCTGACATTTAGATGGATAATTATTCAGTAATGTGGTACTAGCCATCTTTTTTTTTCTCCTGTGTTCATATAGCTGCAAGATGGTGGTATACAAGACTTCCTCTTATACCACAGCTTTCAGGTTGTCCTGTTAAACCCAGAATTTCTCTTCTCCTTCTGAAAAAACGCTTTTATTTTAAGCGTTGTAATTTTTGTAATAGATTACTCATATCTCCTGTATGTGAAGTGTTAGAGTATAATCTCTATTCTCTTTTTCTGTGGCCAATATGTCAGAAAACAGAATGAAAATCATTCCAAAATTATGCCATTAGCTGTGAAAACATACTATGGAAAGTGCATGAAGTTGCATGCATCTGCCTCACTGAGGACACAGGTGGAAGTTACTTGTCTTATGAACACGACTTTCTTTTGAATAACAGTGTGGAGGAGTGCCTCAAAAAAGACTAAATCCCTACAGAGTGCTGAGATTGTTCAAAAGTAACATTTATTTTGGGAGAAGACATGCACCAACCCAAATATAAGATAGTGTGTCTTTAAGATGTTGTCCAGTGTGTGTCCTATTGGGCTGCCTGATAATTCATATATTCCCTGACTACCCGAAATCTCAAAACCCATTTATGACATAAATTTCTAAAATAGCAGAATACTAAATCTTCACTAGTTCCTCGTCATTGTTAGCTAACATATTTTTAAGATTTATTTTAAATTGATTTATTTTTATTTAAATCAGGCCAGGGTTCCACCATTCCATAGTACTGGTCTAAAAGTAATATCTGTTTGATGACTGATGACTGATTTAAGTGCAAGTTCTACCGTTGAAATCTTTTGGGGTCTTAACCTTTAGCTACTGTAGTGGAACAGCTTAAACTTTTATAGCACCTTGTCACTCTGAAGTATTTCTAAATGTTTTACAAAATATTGAAATTAAAAGTTAATTTATCCGTGAGTGCTGATACTTACACATAATAATTTAGATCTAGCAAGAAGAAATCAAAGTGTTTAACGCTAAGCGTGGCCTCTCTTTTTCAGTCTCACGTCAGAAAGGAGACGTATTACAGTGAAATGGGAAAAGCACCTCATTCCAGAGGGTCTGTTCTGGGATCAATGCATTTGTTAGGCCACGTTAAAGTCCTGTTGTTTCCTCCAAATCTTTCCCTTCAAGGTGGATTTCATCTTACAGTAACAGCTGTTCAATATGAAGCATTTGTTAGGACTGTGTATACACCTGTTGGAGGGACAATAGATAAGAACTAATTTAAAACACCTTGTGAATTTCCTTGGCACCAGAAAAAAAGCTCTTTCTTGGGTTTTGGGTAGGTGAGTGTAGTCTGATTGGCTACAAGTGTAGTGAGCTCTAGAGCTCAATCACTGGTATGCAATTGCGAGTCACTAATTGTCGAATGCGCTCGTGATGTTATTGTTTAAGTGGAAAACCGTTTTCAGAAAAAAAGAATGAATGTATGGTTCTGCCTCTCCCCCTTCGTATGTATGCATACAGCTCCACCATTTTGTCTTTAATGAGTATCAGATCCATAACAAATCCGTTGCACAGCAGAACAGATCTGTGTCCAAAAAAGGGAGCTTTTACATGGCAGTAGAGAATGAGAGACTGAGTGTGTGTGACTAATACTGTTGGGGGAAATTCTTAAGGTGAAAGGTATGGAAACTCCACACCCTATGATGTCTTCAACTTCAGCCACAACTAAACAGAAACCATTTCTGCTTCTCAGATGTGACCTCTCTGTCGCTGGAACCTAGGCAGATATAACACTTAAAATTTTGTGTTGAAAGTTGACCACATAGATTGTGTGGGGCACAATACCTTGAATAGTTATGGCCTCACTGGTTTCAGTAGATTCATCAAAGACTATTATACTGTGGGATCCTATCAAATGTGACCGTATATACTATTTTTTAAGTGTTACTTAGGAGGGATGCAGTACTCTCTTCTGCTAGTACCTCACCCTCCTGATATGCTAACTGGAAGGCAAGCAGAATTGACCAGCTAATGTACTGACTTTAAAAACAGTAGTAATCGATATACAAGATAAAATTTTAATCTGTTTTTGTTCTAATATGATTTCTGCCTGAATTGTATAGGTTGCAATAAGTTGTGTAAATAGATGGAAATTCAGAAAGTCTTTTGTGATCAGAGATGGATTTTTATACGTAACGATATACATGCACAGTAACAAACAGCCTTTGTAAGTGGCTGTTGAAGAGTCTCGAGTAGGTGGCAGCCAGTGAGCCAAAGAAGTTTCTTAATCTAATCAGCATCACCTAAAACATCCCCCTGTCCACGTGCTTTGGGAGAGCAGTCCATGTTAGATGCTTGTCTTGGAATCTGGTCATTTAAGAATGACCAGATTCTACGTGGCCAAATCCTACATGATTCTACGGTGACAGAAAGGCGGTCCTCCAGCTTACCACCACCACACGTGAGCCTCGGGTTTATTAACAAATCCATGGGAATGGACTTTTTTTGTGATAATATCCTATTCCTCACGGAAGCATGCATCTGCTCAAAATATCAGTGCACTGAAATGTAGAAATACAACTCGTCGTTCAGAATAATGGCAAGTGGCATATGATTTGTCATGTTCCGTCATACGACGAGCTAGAATATTACATTGTCAATATAGCATGCCAGAGCCTTTGGAAGTGATTCGCAACGTCTCTTTGTAGTTGTTTACAAGATGGAGTTGGGGGTCAGGCACTTTTTATTAAAGGAAAATGGAGGTTTCATTGCTCAGCTGTTACAGTACTTTCGTGGTAATACTCCAATTTGCTGTATTTAGACAGTTAATAGGATAAAAAGCTTCTGAGTAGAACATAGTAGCTATGTGTCAGAATTATACTAACTTCCAGTTATTGATACTATAATCCCAAGGTTTCCATAAGTGTAATGTGGATGGCTGGGGTCAAATTACGGAAGAGTAAATGATAGTGAACTTACTGTGTTTCGTTACAAGGGAATCTGACCTGCTTTGTAAGGGGATTTGGGGTTTTTTCCCTTCCTAAAAGATCATTGAACATTCAGGGTTCATATTAACACGTTTTTCATGTGCTTCAAGTACTCAGTATCTTATTTTCATCTTTATTGTTTCTTTTCTTCCTCGTGAATCTCCCAGAGGATGGAACTGCGCAGAACGGTTGGGAAGGTGGATTATCCAGGAGAGGGCAGCCTCAAACAGAGGAGCACGCGTGAGTGTGACTGCCGAGAAACAGTCTGAGAAAAAATCAAGTGCTGTGATTTTTACTTGCAAAAGATTAGTATTTCATACAGAATTAAATTAATAGTGATTATTTCTTACTACTTGGAATTCCACAGCGTTGAACATTCGCAGGCACGGAATGGCAGGCTTACAGTTCTAGGTACAGATTAATGCAGGGTTTGCAGTACAACTGCCCAGCCAGTTATTTCACCAGTAGTGGGGCATATGGCACTGCCGATTACAGGAGTTGTACTACACAATGAGATATCGTTATTAAACTACTAAAGGAAGGTATGTTTTACTTTTCCAGACTCTTCCGAAAGTATACATTCCTTTACGTTATTTTTGGAAGCATTAACTGCCAAAGATACATGGCCTGTAATGCAGGACACTTTTTTGATTAAAAACTAGCCACAGGCAGCCGTGGTGAAACTTCATGATTGCTTTGAAAATCTTTTGAAATTCTCGTCTTTTCTGCCACCATCTCCTTTTAAGCTATAAGCTCCCTGACATTAATGGACTTTGGGCAGCCCACAGTTAGTAAAGCACTTAAATAAATGTTTCAGGTGAAGTATCTGATAAACCGCTTTCCTAAACTCGACAGATGTGAGGAAGGAGAAGTGATAAAATGTTAGAAGTAAGGCTGATACTGTCTCATGTTGTTAGTATTGCTTGATCTTTTCTGTTTTGAAAAACTTTTTAATTGTTTATAACATTGCCAAATCTCACCTGAAAAGTGAACTGAAATTGTCTGTGCCAACAGTGAGGTGTCAGGCTAAATGTGTTATGTATACACATCCATCCCTAAGAGTTGGACAAAGGAAATATTTGTTTCACCTGTGATAGAACTTGGTGAGAAAGTGGAAAGCTGTGAATATCTGTAAGTTGGATTGTATCAGAGATGCCTTTCATCTTTATGGGAAGTTACCCAATTTGGAAGTCCTGGAACTTAGGAGTTTTTTAAGATGGAAGTTATATATGCTCACAAAAACTACTTTGAGTTGAAGCTTTAGTCTAGCTAAAAATCTGAAAGTTTCCTTTCTCCGTGAGCATGCTCATACTTCTTGCTGCTGGTACAGTATTATCCTAGATCATCCATTTCAATACTTTTTACTCAACTGAAATTGCATTTACCAGAGACTTTTGTGATCTCTTATTAGCAAAATTTCCAATAAATTTCTTCGTTCTCCTTCTTCAACACTGTCAACATTTTTGTTACTGAAATCTCACTATCCTGTTGTGTTGTCCTGTCTTTTTAGTTGGTGCTTCAACTTGTCCTCTGGTGGAACCTTGACATATATCTTTGACATCTATCTGAGAAACTCTAATTCACAGCTCAGCATCAACATGGCTCTATACCACATCTCTTCTTCCCTCCTCTACGATATTATGTAGTTTTTTATCATTTTGTGCAATGTGACTGTCCTGCATTTCGTTAAGGCCTGGTGCCTGTGCATCCAATTTGAATTATGATGCAAATTCTCCTGTCTGTCCGATATCTGAGGTGTATTTGTCACTAAAATCTCACCTCTTGGTTTAATGCAAACCCCCATTGCCCACATACTCCTTTTTTGGCCAACTTCTTTGTACTTTCCTTGTGTCCCTGCTTCTGACAACAGGTCATCCTGTAGGTCCTGTCGATCCTGAAGGCAGAGCACAGCTGCTGTGCTGCAGCTTGTGTTACTGGAGGAGGTATCACCATGCTTGTGCAGTATTCTGGCAAGCTGGTTAACTGACATTAAAGAGTTGGAGTTTGGTCCTTGAGTGGGTTTCTTTCATCATATGCTCAAGGATACATTGATTCTGTTATTCTACTTACGTATTCTGTTGTCGGTATTAAATATTTGTATCACAGTTGTACCTGGTGTCCCAGATAAAAATCTCCCTGGGGCTAGATATTTTATGCATGCATTTCTTTTTTACTAACATATAATGTTTGTGACGTTTATTCAACTAAATACTATGTGTCTTATGTTTGAAGTTGTAGCTCTTCCTCCCTTTTGATTATTGCACTTGAACTTTCGATGTGTTTGTTGGGTTTTTTTCTTGTGATGGATGCTATCCCTCACCATTAGTTTGAAATTTCTTCATAGTAGGACAGTAAGTATCTTGTAAGTGGTGGAGCTTGACTGATGGTAGAATTGTTTGGATGACGTGTTAGATAGAAAAAACAAAATCTTAACAGTTTTGGGTTGGGTTTTTTTTCCACTTAACCAGTGGAAACTGATTAATTTGAGGGGGTTTTGTGGTTCAGTAAATCCCTTGGTCAATACATATAGACTAATTTCTTAGTTTCTTGACTAATTTCTAATTTCTTAATTTCTTGACTTGCAGAACAATTTGAGTAATCGTAGTCTTCATTGACATGTAAATGTTTGCATTCAGTAATTCAGTATGTCTTTTAAAAATTGCAAGATCTGCAGAAGACTAGCAGTTAGTGACATGCAAGTAAGACACATTTATAAACTAACACCTGCACAGTAATATTTATGTGAACTTTCATCCACTTTATTTTTACAGGTGGAAATTCTGTTGTTCAATACACTGACATTAGCGTTTTCTTTTCTCCATAGTCTACTTTTCCCGTGTTGAAATAAAACAGCGATAAGTTTTTCTCATACTGTAGTTCTGTTTCTAAATTTGGAGTTTCTTATAAGGGTGATTCTGCCTTCTGTGTCAGGAAGCAGTAAACAGATTATTTCTCCATTGTCTCCATTTGATTTGCATGTTTAAGTGGTTCAAAGAGAAAATAGCCTAAACCTTAGTTGCAGGGATTTTTAATACATATTCAGTGGAAATCCTTAATCATGCATGAAAATCTGCCATTTAGATCTAATCTAATTGTATATTATTTTCATTTCTATTGCAAAACCCATGAAACTCTGAAAGCTGACCATCTTTACCCTGGTAGTAAAATACATTTGTGGCTTAAAAAGGGAGATAGTACAACAAAGCAAACAAGCAAATAACATAGAATCATAGAGTGGTTTGGGTTGGAAGGGACCTCAAAGATTATCTAGTTCCAACCCCCCTGCAGACAGAGAAACCCTCCACTACACATCATGCCACGTTGTCCCTGTTGGGCTTAGTTGTAACTTCTCATATTTCCTATGGCTACAAGCAGTGTCATACAGACTTGCAGTCCGTGGCTTTGGGGAGCTCGTCCTCTTGACTAAATCCCTGTTCTTAGGAGCAAATGAGTTCAATTCCTGGTTTTACCATTCTCTTCCTGCATGATCATAAGAAAATCCTTTAATATTGGTGAACCTGAGTTCCCATCCATAAAAGAAGGGTATATGTAGTTTTGGCAGTCCTCATATAAATCCTAACCAAAGGCAAGTTATAGTTGGTGTTATATGACACAATCAGGTTGCACAGCCCATCTGTTCACAGCTTACCGAGATCCATCCTGACTGAAAAAACTCTAGGAAACATTATCAACACTGATTCTGAGCAAGTGGTGCTGTGGCTAATTGGAATTGTTTTATTTTTAACTTTTTATGCAGGTTCATGGAATTGCAGTCCAAAGTCAAAAGTTCATTGGTCAAAATTCTGAAAATAAGAGCAAATCTAACAAGTCTACAGGTCTGTTTTACGCTGATTTATTTTTTAATCTGCTTTTAATACAGGATTTGAAATAAAAATAAAAATCTTACATACGACATTTGAGTTTTAAGAAATAGGGAAGCAAATAAAATACTTGAAACCAGGCAGGTTTGGCTTGGAAATCCAAAAAATGCAAAAAAAAAACCTAGAATCTAGTAGATTTCTTTTTTTTAAACTAGAGGAGTTGATTTTCCAAGTATACCATTTTTAATTTGCATCACTCCTCATTTTGTACAGATAAAAGCATATGAAGTAGTTATCAACTATTATTTATTAGCTGAAATATGAATTATTGCTGCTGAGATTTTTATATCCTTGAAGATTAAATATCCCTTTTGTGTTGTAGTGATTGTACTATTTAGTTTACCACTGATGTGTCATCATTTAATAGTCTGTTTAATACATGCTAAAATGCAAATCACTTTTCTGTTTTATTCACATTTTGTTTCCTGAATAAATGTAGCACAAGGTTGGTTGCTGTATATCAATATCTGAGAAATAATTCTGCGCGCTCAAAGTACCGTATTGATTTATTTTGCTTGCATATGTGGTCTGACAATGTTTTATTTACAAAAAAAAAGAGACTGATACTAATTTAAAATATTTTAATTGAAATGTTTCTTTTGAAAACTCTATTGAAAATCCTTTCCGTTTCTCATTAGATTGATGGTGTGCGTTTTTAGGTCTACCACGAAATGCTGAGGAGTGTGTTCAATAGAATCTTAAATGCTTGCAGATTTCCATTTTACTAAGTATTACAGCAAGCTTGTGCATGTGCCAAGATTGCTTTTCTGGGGATCAAGTGTTAATCTGTTTAAACAGCTGAAGCGTAAATAACAGGAGATTTTTAAGTAATGCTTTCAAAGGCACCTGAATGCCATTTTCAAAAGTAGTGTATGTTCTTGCACCCTTAAACTCTTATTCTTTTTGGCTTTCTGTGAGGTGGAGTCTCATGCATCATTCAGAGCTTACGAAAAATTTCCAGAAGTTCTTTCTTTCAGAGTTTGTAGTAAGTTGTAGACGGTCTAAGGAGATATTTTGGGAATGAGATTTAACAATGTCTCTGATTATGTTTTTTTCCAGGCTTTGGAGGGCAGCAGAGAGCTTGAAAATGTCATTGGTGTCTCAGACTCGTCTCGCATGTTGAGTGCTGAAGTGCAGAAAACCCAAGTGCTAAGTAAGGAGGATTTTCAGTAATATTTATCCCTTTTATAACAGTGGTCACTCCAAACGTTTTCTAGAGTCATGATGAAGAGTTGTACCCCACGACTCCCACGAGTGACTTCTTTTGATTGGGACAAATGCACCTTAAATGTCCTTGTGCATCCAACCAGGGACGTAAAAGAAAAGCAACTCCAGCCGCCCACTCTTCTAACTCCCAGGCACAGATGGGGAGGAAAAACTTGCAAGAGCAACACCTTTTCTTATGTAAATAGTTAGATACTTAGTGGGTAGTTAGCTAGTGATTAGGCTAAACGTTTGCACTTTGATTGCATTGCCTTTCTTCTCTTTTTGCAAGGAAGTTGGTTTGTTTGTTTGCCTGTTAGGAGGATTAGGCTGAACGTAGGTTTCCAGCCTTTAAAAATCGCTATTCATGTGTCTTTAAATGATGGACATACCAGATGCTTATTGTCTTGGGATAAGGGCACTTTACAGACTGCACATCTGTAAGGCTGTTTTCAAAGGAACCCAGAAAGTCAAAGATTGGCGTTTATATGTGTCCATTTTTAGCAAAATTTTTATCCTTACTCCAAGTCAGAGGTTCTTGGGACATGTGAATCCTCAGCAGCGAAAAGTGCGTTCATAGTTCTCTTCCCAACTGCCTCTGCAACTGGAAGGGGAGTATGTGATAGGGAAATACTCTAATGCAAAAAAATTGCGTTGTGGATAATAGCAGGAAAAAAACCCTCTTTTTTTGCTTTCAGGCAGAAAGAAATAAATTTCTTACCAGGTCATTACTTTCAAAGTGGTGAAACGTAGCTGTGGGCACCAAAGGGGCCCCCGTCGTTCTGCTTCAGAACAGTTTGTTCAGTTGTTTTCACAACAACCACACCTTTTATGGGTACCCACATGGCACGTTGGTGGTACAGGTGTGTGTCTCAGACTGAATGTACTACCACTGCTTCTCCTCAAAGGTTTGCACATATAACATTGTTCTTGTAGACTTTTCCTACCAACCTTTGATAATCTTGTTTCCAGCCCACCAGGGAATATCAATAATATATGCATAGACCTAGTCCCTCTGTCCAGTCTCTGAACAAGTGTGCAAAGATGATAAAGCTGTTTCTTAACCTGCAGCAAATGTGATGTTTTGCTGGTATACGTTATTCTACAACCTGTCTGGTTGCTCTGTTTCCTGCAAAGTGTAAAAACACTGGAATTAGCTGTAGAAGAGTAAAACGTAGGGTGATAGGACAGCTAATTTGTTTGCAGTTGGAAACAGGTGAACAGTAAAGCCACAGGTGCTGAAGAATTTTTCTTACTGTGACTCTTCTAAAGCATTAGGTCTCCCCAGCAGTGGAATTTATGCACCACACAATTCCAGCAACTACTGTTGTTTAAATTACCATTTCTTTCCTGACTTGTATTCCAATTCTCATTCAGTTTTAATTTTGCATATGTATACACTGTACTGGTTGCCACTGGAATGCGTATAGCCGGATGCTTTCTTATACAAGATGAAACTTTCTGAAAACAGTCTGTGTTTACATTACTACCCTACACTGTGGATAGGGCAGTGAGACTGCCTATCCAGGAGAAGGTTGGAAATGAGATGCTAGACCCATTGTTGACACTCCTTCTGTTTGCTTCTTGTTGCCTTCAAAATGGGAATCCTCGTTTTCCCCCATCCCTGAATTAGGAACAAAGCACCATGTCAGCACTAGAAGACAAAAATGGGAACAAAATGTGGTATAAGACTCGTTAGCCCCACTTCTCAAAATTCCGTTCATTTCAAAAATGTTTTGGTAATTTTTTTTATGACAATACGTAGATAAAGGGTGGATTTTTTTTTTTTGTCATCGCTTGAAGAAAAATACAAATGCTTTGAAAGTGAAAAAGGTGTCATAGGTATTATTTTCTTTGGACTCTCTGGGGCTACATTTATTGATTTCAGATTTATTTATTCATCTAGTGAGTCAAGCAGAAGAACTGCAACTGTTGAAAAGAAACCATGGAAAACTTCCTGCTGGACGTAAGAAACTTTTTATAACTCCTGTGTAACAGAATGCTTTGATGATTCCTTTTCCTTGATTCCTTCTTAGTTCTTTCCACTCAAAATAAGTTGGGTAACCTTTGGTGTGTGAAAATGATGATAATCAAATGTGTTTCTTCAAAGCATGTGGGCTAGCCGAAACTTTTGCACTACTTGCATGTGTATTCCATCTTTTCAGCTATTTTGGTTGTATCGGGCATTTCTCCATCAAAGTGTGCAAGGAGAAGAAATCAGTAATGGTCTTGCACTGGAGGCATGATCTAGAAATAAGTGCAGTCAGGTCCTAGAGAGCTGACATACCTTTTATACATGCCAGTTATCCTCATTCTTCCTCACTCTCCTTCCTCCCCCTCTATTTTCAGTTTATAAGCCAAGTAGCATAGTCTTTGCAGCAAAACCTTTTCCACCTTATGTGTGTTGTGAGGTATTTAGCACACTCCAGAGGACTGTGAAATCCTGACTATTAGTTTTCTTCATAACTAGTGCTGCAAAAATATTTGAAGTTGGTGGCATTTCACATAGTGTGGCCCAAGTAGCCCTTTAGTGCCTTGTCTAGCTGGGAAGGTGGCGGGGGCTACACGCAAGATTTATTTTTTTTCTCACACACCTGGTAAAATGAACAAACATTCACCACTGATACTCTGATATTTCTGTTATCTTCATGCATTCTATCTTAAAAAAAAGAGCAAAACCAGAACAAAAATGGGTGATGGCATCTCTACTGCTCTGTCTGCCAGCTGTCCCAACCAGCAGGACATATCACAAGCAGCCCCTTTGATTTTGGTCCTGTCTGCTCTCCCACAGGCCTAAATTCTTTCTGCTTTGGGGAATTCTCTTAAAGGAAAGAAAACTGATCAAACTTCAGTTTCCTCGGATTACCACAAAATGAAAAGGAGTGACATTACTTTTTAAGGAATTTGGCTCATTTGTGCCATCTGCCATTGCTGATTTACAGCTCCCTGTGTCCTTCTGCTCAAAGGATCACAGCCCCTACCTGGCACTGGTGCTGGGGAACGCTGTGGCCCCTGCGGGTTTAAGCTCCCTTTGTGCACTGCTCCTTAATGGTCACCAGGATGTACATGTATAGTTTCACCTTTACTTTAGAAACTGGCCCCTAATGCTCGACGTATATCCAGACTTGTTACATGACAAATGAGATATTTTGTGAAAGTAGAAAGGAAAAAAGAATTATGAGTTTAAGTGGACCAATTTTGATGAAGTTTCAGTGTCAATTTTGCTTTAATGAAGACTAAATTCAATTTTGCAGTCTTGAAAATACAGCGATGGGAGAGGCGAAGCAGTATGTGATAAAAGGAAAGCATTCAGAGATGTTTTACTTTGCCTTTTAGTTTTGGATGTGGTTTTTCATAATTATTTTTAATTAGTTATGCTTAAGACTTAAAACTTATGACTGTTCTGTGGCTTGATACAGATGGAATGTCACATTATCATCACATGGTGAGGCATGAAATTTATTTACTTTACATAAACAACCTCTACTTAAAACAACTTAATACAAAACATTCCTTGCTCAATGGGCAGCATTATGTAGAACTCAGTATATTATTTTGTGTGACCAGCATAAAAAATGGCATCATTGTTTGTCCATGACTAGCACTTAGAGTAAACAAAATGTTTTTGAATAGATTGTAAGCAAACTGGAAAGCAGCTGCCAAGAGATGAAATCTAGTCGGTCCGTTGCAGTCTAAAACATGCTTTATGTGTGTTGAGAATAAATATGTAGGTTGCAATACGCATATTTTAAAGGAAAATTTAACAGGGTCAGAGATTCAGGGAGTGAAGATAACATTCTAACCAGGAAAGCTACTTAAGCTGGTTATTACAAATTATACTAATACTTTGCTTCCCAAAAAGTAAAACACTGACATAAATTGTGTCAGGCTGGGCAGAGAATGGATTGAGAGCAGCCCTGAGGAGAAGGACTTGGGAGTGCTGGTGAATGAGAAGCTCAACATGAGCCGGCAATGTGCGCTGGCAGCCCAGAAAGCCACCCGTGTCCTGGGCTGCATCCAGAGCAGCGTGGGCAGCAGGTCGAGGGAGGGGATTCTGCCCCTCTGCGCTGCTCTCGTGAGACCCCACATGGAATACTGCGTTCAGCTCTGGAGTCCCCAACACAAGAAGGACATGGAGCTGTTGGAGCGGGTCCAGAGGAGGCCACAAAGATGATGTGAGGGCTGGAGCACCTCTGCTGTGGAGACAGGCTGAGAGAGTTGGGGGTGTTCAGCCTGGAGAAGAGAAGGCTCTGGGGAGACCTTCCAGCAGCTTTCCAGTACCTGAAGGGGCTACAAGAAAGCTGGAAAGGGACTTTTGACCAGGGCATGTAGTGATAGGACAAGGGGTGATGGCTTTAAACTGAAAGAGGGGAGATTTAGATGAGATCTAAGGAAGAAATTCTTCCCTCCGAGGGTGGTGAGGCACTGGAACAGATTGCCCGGAGAAGTTGTGGCTGCCCCATCCCTGGCAGTGTTCAAGGCCAGGTTGGATGAGGCTTTGGGCAACCTGGTGTAGTGGAGGGTGTCCCTGCCCATGGCAGGGGGATTGGAACTGGATGATCTTGAAGGTCCCTTCCAACCCAACCGTTCTGTGATTCTATGTCCATGACTATGCTGTCCAAGTAAGGAACAAGAAGAGAGTGTTACAGAAGATCAAATACTTGCAGTGTTAAGGAAAACTATTTTCAGACTGCATCTTCTAATGAAATAAAAAATAGTTTCTTTTTGGTGCTGTTGTTCATCCTGCCAAGCCCATGAGCAAATATGATCACCTCTATTAAGTTTAGTTCTACACATTGCTGACTTTCATATTGTTTTTAATACAAATGACTGAAGTTTGCGCTCTTTCCAACAGTAGTGGTGGCTTTCCAAGGGACTAATCAGGGTTAACTAGATGGATTTTCATTTAACACCACTTGAAATTACTGATGAAACCAAAGCTGGAGAGATTAGGCACCGAGTAATACTGAGCTCCCACTCGCCCATCAAAATTTTGAAGACTGTGTATGTATGGCAAAATGTAAAATCCCATTTCAGAAACACTGCAAAATATGGACTCCTTAATAAGCAGTTTCTTCTCAAAACAGATAAAATGGTAAAAATACAACATTCCATAGTTTATCCCAATTCGTGGCAGTTAGGGTTTGAACTTCGTGCTGGAGGTTTGTGTACAAGGATCTGAAGAGCTGGGTCTGGACTGCTGGTGGGTTAGAATCATAGAATCATAGAATCATAGAATGGTTAGGGCTGGAAGGGACCTTCAAAGGTCATCTAGTCCAACCTCCCTGCAAGGAACAGGGATATCTCCAACTAGATCAGGTTGCTCAGGGCCTCATCCAACCGGGCCTTGAACGTCTCCAGGGATGGAGCATCCACCACCTCTCTGGGCAACCTGTTCCAGTGTTCTACAACTCTCATGGTAAAAAATTTTTTCCTAATATCCAACCTGAATCTACCTCCCTCTATTTTAAAACCATTACCCCTTGTCCTATCACAACAGGCCCTCCTGAACAGCCTCTCCCCATCTTTCCTGTAGGCCCCCTTGAGGTACTGGAAGACCGCTATAAGGTCACCCCGGAGCCTCCTCTTCTCCAGGCTGAACAGCCCCAACTCTTTCAGCCTGTCCTCATAGGAAAGGTGCTCCAGCCCTCTTATCATCTTCATGGCCCTGTGAGGTTGCTGTGAGTGAGGGTGAATCAAGTTTACAAAATATTTCTACGTCCTCAAATAAAGTAGAATAGCTTTGTTGGCCTTTAGACATAGTTGGCTGTCTGTCTCCCACATATCATTCCTCCTCCTCCTCCTCCTGCTCCTTTGGTGTCTTCTGGGGAAAGGAGGAACGCATCAGACTTCAGATGTGTGTTTTCAGGGACGTATCTGTGGATTTTTCTGACTGTAAAAACCCTGTGCTGAAAAACATACTTTTTATTCTCAGCCTGACTTTGTATTCACTTGCAGGGAAGCAATGTCATTATACCTTTTCTGGGAAAAGTAAGTCTCGTGAACTGGCCGAGCAGAAATTTATTATGTGAACTGACTGAATTCACAAGTAAATTTACTCAGAAATGGAGTTTCTTTCCGGAGTTTCCATTCCCTGAAAGCAAAGGGATCAAATATCATCATTGCCTTTGCTTACAGCAAATACTTTTCAGGGAAGCGATGGGATGGATGCAGGGGTTGGGCCAGGGCGTTGGGAGAGGCCTTCGTATCTAACAAATCTGTCGGCCTCTTCCGCAAGAGCTGGTGACTGTGAGGATGAGCCATGTGCTCGTGTTTGTGCAAGCCCCGCTTCCAGGCATGTGTGGTAAGAGGCTTTCCTGAGGTTCAGTTCTTCCAAGTATTTAATCTGATTGGAAAAAGCTGCCAATGCTGGTGCAAACAGAAGTTCCTTAGTTCTCCCAAGGTCCTTTCAGTTAAATCCTAGGCTTCTTTCCAGCAAAAGATCTCTCCAGCAGCCTTTTTGTGTCTCTAAAAGCAACAAAGGTGATGCTGAAGGACTTTTTTTCAAACATTATTTTTAGATGGAGACTTGGAGTTTGTGTTTGCAAACTTACTTCGGTTCTTAACACTAAAGGCCAGGTTTGGTGTTTGGCCGCGCATCAGGAATGTCTGCCCTGAGTTCCTGTCCCTGCGCAGCGTTCGGAAGAGAGCTGGTGGTCGTCAGGACTCTTTCACTTGGTCCTGCACGCAGCCAAGATACCAGTTGCCCTCTTGGCCGGCTCAGAAAGGCTGTGAAACTAAGACAGAAATTGAATTAAGAATTCATATTTTCTGAAGGTCCAAAAATTACGCCCTGAAGCCTGCTGTTCCATTGCATCCGAGTTCAGCCAGCCCAGTCCCAGGAATCCTGTACGCCCAAGGCTGCGGCAGCTTCCACGGACTAGGTCTGCAGTGACCTGCGGTACGGAGTACGTGCTGCCTTTGCCACAGGACAGAGACCCAGGAGTCTTCTGGTGGCCAGAGGTGGCACGAAGGGGCTGCAGCATGGCAGGACTCTGCAGGATTTCCTCTAGAAGAGCAGTCACTGTGACTGGCACGACGCAGGCCCGTACGATGCGGGCGAATGGCAGAGATCGGAGAGAGGTTGCGTAGAGGCGCTGCACGCGTTCCCAGCTGGTAGGTGATTCCTTGGAGCTGAGCCAGCCCGTGGAAATAAGCGTATCCTTTGGGAGTTATGTTTTATGTGTTGGTGAGACAGCTTCAGGAAGTCCTGACTTTGGTGCTGAAGAGAATCTGGCCTTGTTCATCTGCTCTTCTGTGTGGAAGATCTACCTGAATATCTGCTCATAAGGAATTTTCTACAAGTAGACACGGGGAAAAGTTAATCTCAGTTACGGTTTTAGGTTACACCTCGGTGTGAAGGCTTGGAAATGGGGCTGCGTTGAGTGAAACTGAATGAGGACTGCTTCAGTGCTGAATGTGTAAATGTGCATGTGCACACATGGACCTCGTGCAACTCACCTGATCTTGTGTGCTCATAGGTTATTTTGAATGTTCCTGTGCAGAGACCCAGAGGAATCATAGAATCACAGAATGGTTTGGGTTGGAAGGGACCTCAAAGATCATCCAGTTCCAACCCCCCTGCCATGGGCAGGGACACCCTCCACTACACCAGGTTGCCCAAAGCCCCATCCAACCTGGCCTTGAACACTTCCAGGGATGGGACATCTACAACTTCTCTGGGCAACCTGTGCCAGTGCCTCACCATTCTGCCCTCCTGCCTTTACAATCGAAACCGATTGTGAGATTTCCCCAAAGTGCACCAAGGGGAGGGGTGTGTTGTGTCCTAGTTTGTGTTGTGTGGCTTAAAACCTGCTGTTGCTCCGGCTACATTTGACCGTACGTCTTCTCCTGTCCTGGGCAAGCGGGCCTGGTTTTAGTTTGTAACCATGGAAAGTTCTGTACGACCTGGAAGAGGTCACACAGCCCACTTAGCCCGCTACCCAAAACCTGCAGTGCTCCTGATTTTCCTAGGACCATCTTTCCCAATCTTGTCTGCCGAAGGAATGCTACCGAAGGGTGAAGGAGCTGGCGGACGGGTCGCTGTCTGACCCCCACGTTCCGCGCTTTCCCGGCAGGGTACGGCTCTGCCGGGTTGTGCCTGCACCTTAAGATTTTAAAATACAGCCTGAGATTTGAGAAGCGTCTGGGTCTGGGGTCACCGGCACGGGAAGCTTTTGGGATGGGAGGCAGGGGGCAGATTACAAACCTCTCCAGTGATTTAACATCCGCTGCTATGTAGATGAAATATTAAGCTATTAACTTCTGTGGCAGACACAGAAATGCACGAGACATACGACTATAGGCCTCAGACGTATATACATATAGAACTGTCAACCTGCGCTTCATATTTAGGTGTCGGCCGCTTTTATTCATGAATTTCACACTTGTCTGTATTTTCCTACGGATCTTCCTACAGACACAATAGCTATTAATTTTTAATTCTTGTGGATCTCGCCTGTAGAGTCTTAAGCTTAATGAAAAATTGAAAAGAATTGTAGTTCTTTCAGCAGCTACATGTAGCAACCCCTACATGAGGATAAATACTGCTTTCTCCCATGAATATAATTATTTTAAATAAAAAAAGAAAAGAAACATTAGTTTGGACTCACTTAGTAGCAATTATATGTTTAAGAGGTGTAAATAACTTGCTATCCAGACGTTACAAATATCCAGGTGCTGTGTATGTGCTGATGACAACAAAATTGAAAAGAAAGACTGTAATAATTCTGACTGGTTTTCTCTGCAGAAGATATTGATTATTTGTGTGTGGTGAGAGATTTGGAAAATTCAATTAAAGGAGTTGTGCAAAGGTTTCATAAATTTTCCTTGTACAGCGTGTACACAGACATTGTTGCGTATTAAATCAATGCAGCACTTCACAATATATTTTCTTTGAAACATAAAAATAAATAACATTTAAACAGTTCTGCTTACTACAGAAACAAATTTTATTTTCTGTGAAGCATTTAGTCATGTGCTATCACTGACTCATACACATTTGCCAGCTGTAACAAATTTTATAGACGTTTTCTCCAGAGACATAGCTCATATACTATGAATTTTTAAATGAGCAAATGGTGAAGAAGGGATGTCAGCAATATAAAAATTGATCAGTTAAAAGATAAAAGCATAAGTAAAGAGATTTGTATGGTAGTCTTAATAGGTTTTATTAAATAAAAATACTATAAAAAGACAGTAATGAATAGACTGAAGGTTTTAACTGTGGTTGAGGTGGAGAAAAATTATTCTGGCACATTTAGTAGAAGATTGGTTTTACACCACCTGACAGGTGAACATTTTTTTCCTCTCTGCTTTTGAGATCTGCACATGTTGTAGAACCGTCAAACTGGGGAAGGAATGGCGGTGGCAGTAGGAGGGGAAAAGAAACTTGGGAAGCTTCTGCCCTTCTAATGCTTTTGTGGGCCGTGGGCAGGAGACACCATGGCAGAGGGCACCAAGGCAGGGCTGAGGATTCTGGTGAGTCTCCAGCTGCTGCCTCACCCTACGCAGCCCTGAAATGTTGGGCTGGTGAGGAGAGAGCTGGTCCTGCACCCAGCCAGTGCTTGTGCCGCAGTTGGCTGCAGCCCTGCGGCATATGTAGTAGAAGGTGTCCCTGCCCATGGCAGGGGGGTTGGAACTGGATGATCTTTAAGGTCCCTTCCAACCCAAACCATTCTGTGATTCTATGATTCTATGTCTGATCCCTTTGCTTCCATGTAGTTTAACTTACTTAGGAGTTTTGTATATAGAAATATCCAGAGAGAGAAGGGTTGTTAGGGTTTTCTTTTGTCTGTTTTGTTGGGCTTTTTTAAGAGCTTATCTTCATTAGCTCATATATTAAAAAACAACAAACAAACAAAACACAAACTCTAAAACCAAAAGAGCTTGAACTGCCACAACAAACATTGTAAGTTTTTGGAGCGAATGAGTAGTAAATCACATTATTTTATTATTTGAGTATCCAAATCTTAATGTTACGTGTATAAATATTACTCTAAATAAGGCTGGTTTGTCAAAATGTGCTATCACGGTATCTATTTGGAAAGAAAGCTGAGTTCACGATGGTTTATATGCATCTGAGCAGTTTCCATTTTTTAAGACAGCGTCTCAGAGCGAAGTGCAGCTCTTGGCATGGTGGCTTTAGCATGTATGGGGTCTTTAAGTACCGCATAGGCAGAAAGCTGCAATCAGTGCTTAAAGGGTTCAGAAAGACTTAATTACCAAGTTGCATTTAGCCAAAGAAACCAACGTGTGATGAAATCTTTTTCTGTTACCTGTCAGAGAAGACTGGACAGTTTCCTATTTTAAGCAATAGGTAGTGGTAGGTTTTTGATGCTCATCTGTGTAAACAACTGGTGTTTATTAGGGATAACGCTGAAAAGTTGAACCCAAGGCAAAGCTGAATTGGATGTGGTTTTTTACGGAGTAACGTTGTGAGACGTAGCTTAGGATGGAATTTCTGGCTTGGTCTGGGGCAGCTCCAGGTAACATTGCTGGCATCTCATGTCAGATCCACAGGCGTCACATCACGCGTGGGAAGCATGTGGCACCTGAGGAATCACAGCATGCCAAATGAGGAGCACCTTCCCACCACCTCCCATGTCTTGGGTGGCTTTGAGGCCTCTCTGTGTCGAGGTTTATGTGCAGCCCCTTTCCTCTTTTTAGTCTTTTTAGCTGTAAGCCGCTGTGAACGTGTGTTTGTTGTCCTCAGTATGTTTACTGTAAAGCGAAGAATTGTGAATTCTCCCTTCACCCCTTTGTGGTGGTGGAGTCAGTAGGAACCATCAGCAGACACTAAGGGCACGGAGCATCTGAGCTGATATCTGCTGCACAAAGCCAGTTGCAAACCCTGGCACTCAGACGCTTCCAGACCCTTTCCCAGTGTGTTCTCATTCCCCGCGTTCCTCGCTGCCCCTGCCTGCTTTTCCTCTACTTCTCCCAGCATCTGCTCAGCCCTTCACCCTGGCCCTGCCCTCCTTGAGTACAGGGCTCAGGTGGGGGTGCCTCTCTTTTTGCTGTCCCCTCAGAGGACTCGGGATGGTTGTTCCTCTCGTACGATCTTCAGTTGGATTCTGCTGAATCTGCTGACATGGTCCTTACTGATATTTATTTGTTTATTATTAATAGTGACAATGAAGGACCAGCTTCTGATACTCGTAACGCATTTGGATCTGCTTTGTCCTCATTGGTAATCATGGAGCAGATGTGCACACGCTCACAAGTAATTAAGACAATCTCCTAAATCACTTTTGAGACACAGTAACCACCGCAGTAACTTCTTTAACTCGTATTTATGCAGGGATTTTCACCAATTCTGTAACACCACCATTGTTCTGTTTATCAAAAGTGTTCTTCCTCCTCCACAGTGTATGCTCAGACCACCAGTAGCTCTGCGTTCCTGAAGTCACTCTGTGATTGAGGTAAGCGGCCCCTCGCTCTGCTCTGGGACTCCTCCAGCTGCCACCTACAGGTAGTAGTGACATAAGGCCTGAGGAACTTTTAAAACATTTGCAGAGTGATGTAGTGTGTCGGCCTGCAGTGAAGACTGATGGGAAAACTGTTGTTACTCCACACGTGGCATTTCTTGTTACTGGTTTGGTTATGCAAAATGACATATTCAATCTGTTGAAACCGTCCTGCTCTAAAACATCCGATGACATTTCTCCTCGTCAACGTTTTCAGTTCCTAACTGGATGTTTTTTTCAAGAATGGCAAGTCAGCTGTAACACATGTAACAAAAGCAAGAAAAGGTGTGTACTTCAGATTACACCTTCTTAAATGTCACGCCTGATGCCCTGGAATTGGTGAAGGAGGCTGTTCATGGCAGGGGTGCTTCTCTGCTCGGGCTTCCCTCCAAAGGGACTGCGTGCATCCTTCTTCACGGTGTCGTTAACCCCTGGGTAGGCTCCTCAGCTCCTGGCAGGCTGTACGCAGCCAGCCAGGCCAGCAGAAAGCATAAAACACTATCCTGACACCTCAAGACATGTTTTATGGGTCTGTAAATTCTTCCTTCTTTGGTTACTCGTCTTTGTTCCAGTGTTGTAAGCAAAAGCACAGTTAGCAACCGACCTTGTGCATTACCTAGTTGCTGGTACCTTTCACGAAGGCTGGTGAGACAAAGGCGTCCCTAAAGACGAGAATGGCTGCAGATTGTGTCAGTTCCCTGTGTAGTGTGAGAACAGCTCTCCTTTGGAACGTTAAAGTATTCTAATCCTGTAACCCAGGAATATGGAAAAGTCCATCTACAGGTTTTACAAGCTGTGTAACAACTGAGTTAGAGCAGGGTAAGCTCAGACACACATATTTTGCTTTTCGGCACAAGCTGTGTAACAACTGAGTTAGAGCAGGGGTGAGCTCAGACACACATATTTTGCTTTTCAGTGAAGGTTAAATTTTATTTTGTCATCACTAGTAACCTAGTAGCAAAAAATAAAGCTTTAAATCCCTGCTTGTTCACAAGCTACCTGTACCCTAGTACTTGCCAGCTGCTTATGCCAGAGATGCCACTCCTCACTCCTCCCAAACCAGCTACCACATCAAAGGCTGGGAACAGCGTGGTGGAGGGACGGAAAGCAGCGCAGGAGAGCAGAGCCAGCATCCTGTTCAGCAGCTCATTTTCACCGTCCCGCACAGTTTCTGTGGTTTGCAGTGACCGCGGTACAATAATCACACACCAGTTAACAGCTTGAACTGAGCTCACGCCGACAACTACAAGGCTTCAGTCTGAAGTTAGCTCAGAGACTCATGTCTCTACTATTAGTTTATGTCCATGGATAGTACTGTCTAGTCAGTGAACACTGGTTTTGCACCTTATGTCCAAAAAAAGGGCCACATTTACTTTTTCTAGTTCTATCCCTTCCCAAGCATGACCAACACTTTGCTTTCCTCTAGTTTAAAAAAACACAGCGCTGAGAGCAAAGTGATCTTTTAGCAATCATTTCTCAACTTTTTCTACAGGTAAAAACTACCACATTTCCTTAAAACAAACATCTTAAAAGGTTGCTGCAGTTCAAGGGAGACCATCTGTCGCTCTGCGCTGCCTTAGGATGTACGTGTGTCTGTCCGTACGTCTTATGCAGTGAGCACGGGCCGTAACACGGCCACGTAATTCTGCACAGATCACAAGAATGATGCTGCTGTTGTCTAACTGCTGTTTATTTTAGTCATCCCTTATCTCCACGCAGGCATTATGTGAAAAATGCATTCCGCATCAACCCAGAGTTCTACATCTGCTTGACTGTACTTAAAAGGAGCGAAGAAATGCCTGTAAACCTATCTCCCAGCAAATACCATTGCGCTAGGCAGGTGCACATCTAGATAAAATTTCTGGCATCTATTTAAACTTGACAATGTGCACAACCAGATAATCTCAATGTAAATCATCCATCGCGGCTGGTTTACGCACGTGTTGTGTACAAAACGCTGAGTTAGGTTTGCTGCCGCATGGAAAATAAACGGTATTTTCTGTATGTTCTTACTGCAAATATATTCATTATCCTGCCTTGGTGTGGTATTGGGGTTTTTTTAAGAAAAAAGGCAATATAACCCTCTTTCCAAGAACTGGGTGGGAAGAAACCATCTGAGATGATGAATTTTGAATCCCAGGCCCCCAGTGGGACAGGGTTGCTCCCTTCCAGGGTGGGGCAGGAGCTGTATATGCACATGCTGAGTTAATCAAGTCGTCATCCCCCCCAAAAAGCTCCCAAAACATGAGCTAAACAAACACATCTCATTTTGCAACAGCCTGCCTAAAAATTAGTTACTTTTTCTAATGATGA